AAAATGTAGCATGTATCCTCCCGACTTTCATCTTCAGCATAATGGTGAGATCGTTGTTTAAACAGCGTTTACAAGCTAAACCAGATGTATCACGCTTTTTAAAAAGAATTATTCTTTCTCATTCCTTTGACTGTTTCACAACCTGTAACGTCATCAGCGTTTTTCGATTTTAGTTTTTGTAATTCATTTTTAATACTTTCTTTTGCGACTGGTTTGAAAAATTTGTGCTTATAGCGAGCTAAATAGGTAGATATGGAAAATAAATTATTATTTTTCAGGAACGAAAATTTTTAACAAAATTCTGTTTTCAAAGTCGTGGCTGCCAGCCGAATCGGATTATTTTTTTAAAAAAGCACCCCGATTTTTTATATGTAAGCATTAGTATCGTAATTCTTACTTAATTAAAGGTCAGATCTATATAATTATTTGAGCATCGATTCTCTTTGTATCCAGACGTTGACCATTTCTGCTGGAAATCCCTGTTGAAAGAGCTTACTTCTTGACTTCAAATAGCAAAACAAAAAAAAAAAGAAATTTTTACTAAAATGAGTATGTTCTCTTTGACGTACGACTGCCCATTGATATCTCGGTTGTATAGCTTAGGAAATAATATGCTTAAAGACATTTTTACCAAAGTTGATAAATATGTCATGTGACCAGTTTTGTTACACAAATACTCCCACGACCATAAACAAAAAATATTGGCCACAATTTGTCGTTTTGTTTGCCATATATACGTTTTATCGGTGCACTTGCACAACATTCGCATTCGCAAAAGCCCCGCATTGATTATTGCGAATGCGATTGTTAAAATTAAAGCGGAAGCTCCGCGGTTGCGAAACCCCTGGTATGTACATAAATATTTATGGACTCATTTGTTGCAACTGGGCATGAATCACGTAACTTTGAAACGATATTCGTTCAAACGATACTGACAAAACGATGTTGTCAAAACACTGATTTATGCATTTGTGTTGCTGTTACGTGTTACTGTTACTGTTACGTGAAGCAAAACTGTAATCGAGTTGACGATATCGCACAAACGATCAAACAATTTTTGATTTTTATGAAGCAAGACAATCTCGACACGATATCGTTCAGACGATCGTCGTCATACGTGATTCATGCCCTGGTTTTGATATTTGTAGATGGTTTTAGGCATAGGTTTAGTAGTCTATTTTGATAAAAAAGCAAGCCGAAAATTAGAAAAAATACTGAAATCATTTTAACTGGGACAGTTGATAACTGATGAACATACATGAATATATGTATGTATAATATGCATATGTATGGATGATATAATACCTCTGATCCAACACTTTTCGTGTAAAATCCTGGAAAAAGGTCAAACAGCAAAATCACTCTCTGAAGTGCGACTAAAAAGTGAGTAACAGCAAAACGTACGGAACAAAAAAGCATCGGGTAAAATCCTGCAACTTCAATCTCTACACAAGTCTCCCAAAAATTCATTTACATGAACCACAGATTATATTCCGAAAAGTAAAACTAAATTTAGGAATATATACAAATAGAAATGCTCAAACTATAAGCTCAAAAACAATAACTGATGCGGTGTTTCCAAGATATTTTAACGCGCTTGAGTCACAAGTATATACAAGTATCATATTTTATCAATCCTACCGATAATACAAGAATTTTTAATTTCAATTAAAAGAATTAAAAATGAAAATGAATAAAAAAATTAAATCAGCAAATTTAGTGAAATTAGTGTTTAATTTCTAACCTAACCTACATTTGTATGTATGTAACTGAATCGCCTAATAATAGCTTTACATATAAAAAGATTATCCTAATTTTCGAGCTTAACTCCCCTAATCTGTTATTAGAAAAAGAGATTGGCCATGCAAAATTGTAATTAAAAATATCTCAGATTAAACCGATAACTTTTTGGTGTCCAACCTAGTTTTATCGATTATACTTGCGAAGAAGAGGAGGAATCCCAAATGTTAAAGTAAACAGAAATTGACGCTAGCAAGGAAAAGAGGTTTGTAAAGGTATTTTTAATAAAATATTAAAAAAATAAACGTACATTTATGCTTTGCCGTTCGCATATGTATACACATCAAATTTCATGAGTACCTAGTACTCACGACTTTTTTTTAATTTTTCGAATACAAAGGATATGATCATCCTTGTTCGCTTTATTCCGTATTCGAAAAATTATATGTTTCAATGGACACATCGATTCGAATACATAATTTATATTTAGATAACATTTTTAGCTATTTATTTGAGAAAAATAAATTATTTAGATTATTGTTTGTATTTTGTTTTTTTTTTTTTAATTTGCCACCCCAAAATAATTGATATTAAATAAAACACCTCTTTGAGGCAGTTAAAAAATGCGTATAATTCTCGTTACGAAATTGATATCATAAATTTTGTGTTTCTAGTTCAGCTTTCGTCACTCAAAAATTTTACCTCAAAGAGGTGTTTTATTTGATATTCATATATACTGTATCTTCATCAGTTATCAACGACCTAAGTAGTCACAATAGTGCCATTTTTGAAATATAGAAGTTTAGCATAAAATGCAAATATATAACAAAAAATTGCATACCACTTTATAGATTAAAAAATTACAAAAAGTGAAAATTGAAAGCACTTACAAATTAAAATAAGGGCTGTGAAAATTATTTGCGAACCGCTGAATTCTGTTGTGAATATGCAGTATGGAAAGTAAGATTTCGCCACAACAAGCTTTTAATTCAGGATTTTTGGAAAGATTCTAAGTTCATACATTTTGATCCATTTAAAAAAATTTCGAGCACACTTTATATGGAAAAAATGCATAACATCGAAAACTTGGAATCTTCCTAAAAATTCTGAATTTTGTTGCGAAAACCTGCTGAGTTTTTATAATTTTTGTACAAAGTTTGAAATGGCGATTTGTGTACATTTATTGTGCTTATTAAATTATGAACTAGACTTTTATTTAAAATCAATTAAAAAATAATCAATGAAAATAATAGGCAAAACTGGTCAAAATGTCTTACTGCCATTATTTCGCATATAGGTACATACATATGAGTGTAATAATGTCAGAATAGCTGTGCTTCGGTGTATTTCCCTTCCGTAATTGGAATTCTGTGTAATTTTACTATGAATTTATGTTTTATGTCTAATAGGCAACATAGACGGTGCGTCTGACTCGCGAGTCAACTGTGTACGTGTTCACTCGCCTTTCGACTACACACAGTTGAGTCATTCAGAGTCATACCAGAGTCATGTCGGTGTAACTAACACATATTTATTTTTACTTAACACATCCAAATCGACTCGCGATTCAGATGCACCGTGTATGCCGCTCCCTCATAAAAGTGATTTACTGTAATAATTTAATTAATTAATAATTTTTATATGAAGAAATAATTATTATAAAAGAAATTTAATTTTGTGGCACTTTCATATTCGTTTCGGCACAATTTTTGAAGACCATTAGGCACCTTTTGAAATTTTGAAATTCCATCCCTGCTTGTACCTCACACGAATCATGCATGCATGACACGCAACATACTTCAGTATCGATACGAAAAACAGTTTCGTTACCGCACAATATGTTGTGTTGTATTGATTGACGTTGATGGTGCATATACGGAACATGCGAGTAACGAGATTATTATGTGAGTAACGGTTTGGTACTGCAAGCACTTTTACCTCACAAGAATCATCGCAACGATTCTTGCAGCGTAAGGAAATGTTCGTTCATACATATACATACATGTGCATATATACATATGTATACACGCAACATAGTTTTGTATCGATTCGAACAATTTGATACAATCAAGCACTTGTACCTCACACGAATCATGCATGCATGTACGTACATACACACGCAACACACTATAGTATTGATACGAAAACAATTTCGTTACTGCACAATATGTTGTGTCGTATCGATCCACGTTGATGGTGCATACACGGAACATGCGAGTAACGAGATTATTATGCGAGTAACGATTCGGGTCTTCGAGTCAGGGGTTGTATTCGTTACTCAGTAACGAATACATGCGGTTTGCTACAGCTCTAATATTTCGCCATCAACACTTTTAGGCTGAACTCTCAAAAGGTAGACATAATCCATTTGAAGATAATGACCCCTATCTCCTCCATTACAAAATATTTGAACTTGTTTTACCAGCACGTCGGTCAAATTATAAGTTTTTCGATTTGAGGAAGTTTTGAGTAGATTGATATAAAAAATTTTCTAAATTTTCCTTAAAACTCTCTCTTTCGTTTACATTAGCGACGCTATGAGTAAATTCATTGAAATCTTCTTCAAAAAAGGCTCAGACTGCAATTTAAAAGAACACTTTAAAGCTTTTTGTTAATTGCAGTCAAAACGGCATTTTAAAAAAAATCATACTTCAAAATTCATAAACAAATTGTTACTATCAATTCGATATTTCAAAATTTTCGGGATCCCGGGATTGGCAACCCTAGTATCTCTGCAACTGATTCGCCTAATAGGTTTGTCTATAAAAATATTATCCTTATTTTCGAGCTTAACTCCCTAATCTGTAATTAGAAAAAGAGATTAGCCATACAAAATCATAATTATAAAAGTAATTTTTGGTGTCCAACCCTGTTTTATCGAATATACTTGCGAAGAAGAGGAGGAATCCCAAATGTTAAAGTAAACAAAAATTAACGCTAGTAAGGAAAATAGGTTTGTAAAGGTATTTTTAATAAAATATTCAGTTAAAATATATTTAATATGTGTTGCTGAAAAGAGTTACCACGGTGGCACAGAGAAGAAGTTTAACTTTTCCTCGAGTTGTGTGAATAACAAGCACAACCAATTTGACAGCTAACGAGCTTTGATTGAGATTATATTTATATGTAAACGTACTTTTATGCTTTGCCGTTCGCATATGTTTACACATCAAATTTCGTGAGTACCTAGTACTCACGCCTTTTTTTGTCGCGGTAGACTTTCCGATGGAAACACCCTTATGAGATAAACAATTACTTACCAGTAAATCTGTCTCCGTAAAGTTAGCTTTTATTGTTAGCTGACCGAATTCAGACCTCGTAATACTATTCTGTTTTCCCAGCAATTCAATATAATACTGATGAATTAAGTCAGCGCTTTCAAATGCATGTAAATCCAATGCTTTTTCAACTTCTTTTAAGACCTCGATATCTGATGTTACTATATTTCCAACTTTAAAACATGATGTCATCACTACTAACGTTTGTTTTAAATTTTGGAAAAATGAGGGCGGGCGTCGTTTCTAGAAACAAAGGTTTTAAAATTTAGTATAAATAATGTACAGAAATTTATTTATTTATAAAAAGTAATACTTTAGTGTAACCAGAATGATTAAAATGTGACAGTCATATGTATTCAATAAAAAAGTTTGTCTATAATGTCAACTTTAAGTACCCAAATGGGCGTAATGGGCTACGAAGGCGTATGGATTCTAGATCGTCTAACTCTCGAGCAATATGATAAATAGGCATTGAAATTTTATGAAATTGTATATTTGTATGAAGACTTGCTCTAGCTGCCAGTCTCCTAAAATTTCCTCCAACCCCGTCGCAAGCAGATTTCCCATGTGAACTTGCAACAAAGTTCAATTCTGCCATTTCCTTGAAGGGATTTTCGTGATTTCAGACCTTTAGTAAAGTTCATATGATCTATTCATATTTTTTTTGTTTCTTACACACCTTTCCTCTTTCAAAAGTATGTATATAATTTCATACAATTTTAATGCCTATTTATCATATTGCTCGAGTAAAAAAAAAATCAAAAAGAAAAAGGTTTACTTAATTTTTATTTTTTTTTATACGTTGCAGATTAATATAAAAAATTTATAATTAAAGCCCATAATAAGATAGAAGAAATACATTTTTTTAAATTAAATTTCGTTAAAAGGTTTCCAAGATACAGCACTTTAAAGAAACGTATGTATGACGTTTTCTTAAAATTTAAGTCCCTTGTAAATAGACTACCCGATGTCATATCGGCCAAATATGCTGCACATATATTCATGTCACCTAGACCTCCAATCTCTTCAACTTTCATCCAAACCCTTAGAGTTCGCGCACAATCTTACTAATCTTACTATAGCCGTGATAGCAGCATACGGTAGGACAGCTGTATATCTTGGGTGTTATTGAATGAAATGCAATAATAATTTTTTGGCACTGCAGGTGTTTTTATTTAGGTTAAAATATCTCAAATAAATTATATAATAGAATAAATACTATCTAATTTCTTACGAATAATAACTCAATAATGATTTAACAGAATTTTTTTAATATTTCAAAGTATCTATTAACATAAATGCATTTTCCAATACAATTATCAAACATTTGATTTTCGATAAAGTTTCGGGTTTTACTTTAAGGCATTTATTGTCATTGCAAAAGCTAAGTGAACTGGAAACTGATAAGCACCTACCATTGATATGTTTGCATACCAAATTTCAATTTTATGTGACTTATGGTTCCGAAGTTATGGCTGATTAAAAATTTGCAGGCCTACGGGAGGTGCTACGCCCCTCGCAAAATTGACACCATATTTGCAAACAAAACCATACCTATAACCTTCCCGGGGTAAAAACAAATAAGTGTGCAAAGTTTCGTGCGATTCCGAGTAGAGGTTCAAAAGTTATAAGACATTCACATTTGTATATATAAACTGTGAAAAGTTTTACATTGTCACGGTTTTCAGCATTTTTCAACAATTTCTGTTGAAAATACGTAGCATAGTGATAGAGAATTTGACTTTGCCAACTTTTATACAAACATTTTTTTCGTACGACGCAACGCTTAGATCACGACCGGGAACGTGCCAAACATAGCGATGTCAGGGAAGCGGCGTAGAATTCATTTCAGCATCACGTCAACTGGTACAGTACGACGACGAAAATTTTATAGGATGGATTAAAAAGATTAAGGTCTTAAAATGATCACATAGACACCCCTCATGAAAAACAGTGTCACCTTTTGAAAAATTTAAGATGGCGTCTAAACTAACCGTAAATTAGATTTTGCTTTACAGCTTTTACGTCACCGAAGAACCGAACACTAAAAAAGAAAAAGTAAAAGCAGGTTCTTATGTTTTTGAAGTTGCTGATTACGAACCTAGAGCATGATTTAAAAAATCGATAATGGTGAATCCAATGTGGCGGCCAAAAAGTTAATATTGATTCGGTCCGGGTTCTTGGGGCTGCTTATTACGAATCTAAGGTGGGGTTAAAAAATTCAAAATGGAGGACTCAATATGGCAAAATAAATCGTACAAAAGTTGTGGAGAATAAAATTCTCTACAACTTTGGAGTTTCAACATGCTACGTATTTTTAACAGAAATTGTTGAAAAATGGCGAAAACCGTGACAATGTAAAATTTTTGCGCAGCTTTTGCGAATTATTTAAAAAGAAAGTGTTTTTTAACCCATAACAACAAAGTAGCAGACCCGGCGAACTTCGTCCCGCCCAAAATTAGGTTTTTAATTTAAACATTTTGGTCCAACATTTTCTCCAACAATCCACATTTACGATTCAAACTTTTTTTATTGCCAACCGGAATCTGTAACCAAAACTTCAAAAATCAGTACAGCCGATCTCGAGCTTTGCGAACGGAAAAAAACCGCTTTCAAAATATATATTAGTATAGATGTGGGAAATTAAATTCTCTACAATTTTGTATAAAACCATTTTTTATGAAAAATGCAAAATAAGCTTGCAAATCGCAAAAAAACAAAAATCCAAGATGGCGGAATTTGGCCATATAAAATTTAAAGGCAAGACTGTGAATACATGATCTACTGCATCAAAAACCCGATGTTACGATCTTTTTTGAGAAAAAGGCTAATTTTACTGGGCTAACATGTTGTTTTTAAAATGGGGTGAAAAATAGTTAAGCTGTTAATAGCCAACTGCATCAAGTACAAGCATAACGGTTGTTTTTAAATAAATTGAAGGTTTAGGAACTATACTGAACCTATTTTCATGTTGTACTCGACCATAGCTACAACCAACAGTAGGTTTTGTTTCCGGTGTATTTCGTGACTTTTTTTGTAGCACCGTGCTATTATTGAACAAGGATTCTTAGATATTAGTGTGAAATTAAATTTTTTAATTTTCGGTATTTCAAACACGATATTATCGATGCGATGAGGTTTTTCAATTTCGGCATTTCGATAAATGGAAAAGCGATATTTTTTAAAATATCAACAAGCCTCCAATAATGCTTAAAAGTGCTCCGAAATGGGAGGAAATATTCGTGAGTAGGCTTCTACGCCATTTTAAAAACAAGCCCAGAACTACTTCACCGAATTGCTGCAAGAGACAAATATTTTACCAAAAATGATGCCAACGCTGAAGATGGTGATTATGAAGTCTTCGAAGACGGGAACATGTGATCTTGGTGATAGTTAATTTAATTAGGATATGTATACTGAGGGACATAATGCATAGTAAAAATGAATACTTTATATTTGATTATCGTTTAAAAATATTCGTATTTAAAAATAATATTTTTATACCTAAATTTATTACGCACTTATTTGACTGTTGACGTCTGAGTACGGATATGTAAGTTTACATATACGTATGTATCAAGCATGCAGAGCGGTGACAATAAACACATTCATACATAGTACATGTTTATATGTACGTACAAATCGCGTGCTGTGGTTTTGATGGAAATTCAACATTTGAAAGTACATTTATATGTCTGGTAGAACTGTAAAACTATCGATAGTCATCCCATTCGATCTTTTTGATAGTTTGCATTGAAACTGTCGATACTATCGAGAGTATCGGATAATTTTAAAACGTATTGACGAAGCTTTTTATATAAACTTTTTCGTTTTATTTAGTTCCTGAAGAATTAGCTAATTGTAACTTTGTCCTTTCTCTTCGATTCTTAAAATATTTTAAGCCGTTAATATAAAAACTAAGAATTCCCAATCGTAGGAAAATAAAGGTAACTATAACCGTTGTATTACAAAAAACTTTCATCAGTCCAACTCCGGCTACGCCGCAGTAGTTTTGCATAGAAATCACTCCAAAATTTACTGAAAAGTCCATATTTCAAGTGTGTGCCGAACCGTACCCCGACCTCTACGTGATTATTTATCCATTCAAAGTATCAAACGGAAATACAAGAACCGCACCCTGACCTCTACATGATTATTTATCCATTTAAAGTATCAAACAGAAATACAAGAATCTCGAAAGTTTGACTAACCCTGGCTTATATCATTACTTTCTCCCATCGACGCAGAATCACTAACACCATAGTATGGTTGCAAAAAGATATTCAAACTAGTTTTTTCAAATTTATTTACACCCGATTTACATGATTCAAGTACTTTAAAGCAATTCTGGTTCAGTTTCTTTTGTGTTTTATATTTGCTTTTATACGCTTACATTTTTTTGGATTTCAGTTTCTGGTTCTTTAAATCGGAAACAACGAAAATGTCAATAGCAAAGCAAGAAACTTGAAGCCACTTGACAGTACAGACGCATATATACTCTTCCCTTTTCTTCTCAACCTCTCTCTTCCACTAGCAAGCAGAATTGAATTCAATACTTGAACCGTGTAAAACCCGGTAACAGGTAAAAAATAGTTTGTATAAGCAAATCGATGTTTCCAAACTCCCATTTTCAAAAATAAAGAAACTTAACTTTAAAGCTCACTTTATATTTCTGTGTTCATTTGGAACAGTAGCTTATGTCGAAAGGCTGGCTTTAGTATAATGCGGCATTCGCAGCAATAGTGCAAAAAATAGAACTATTCGATAGTATCGATAGTACCATCGATAGTTTTACAGCTCTAATGTCTGACTGTAGCTGTGTGCGCAAAGATGCTTGCCACAATTCGTTGATATCCAGAGATGGTTTGAATTCCACTGCAAGCAACAAGCAAATTAATTTTTTTTTTTGTTTTTATCTTGATTATTCACTCCATGGATGCTTTTTCACAACGAACGCGGTCATTTTAATATGCGCGTATTTGAATTGAATATTTGCCAATATACAGTACTTTCGTTAGAGTTTATAGTAAGATCAATTAAGTTTCTGTTTGATTTTAATATTTTTTCCCCTCAGTGTAGTCCTTTTATTGTGCTTATTTCATTCCTATATCCCGCGAAATTGTTGGCGATGAAGGAATGCTTAGGTATACATGCCACTACATACATACATACTTACAAACATGTGCAGTAAATATGGTCAGTAAAATGTTAATTATCTGAATCGACTAATGATTTAGTATCAACTTTTGTGAACTTCTAAACCGCACAACATATAACTATTGGTTTCAATAATTTTAAGCTATAATAAACAATTTTTTTATTTACTGGTCTTGAAAGAATTTTTTTTTGTATAGGTTAAAGCTTGTGGCATAGGGAGCAAAGTTCAGATTCCTCGTTGGAGACTCAAAAATTTAAATTAAAATCGATACTATTGTAGTCGAAGATATCACATATAAGTTTTAGTCCCGATTGAAGTCGGTTAAGGCATGTAGCACAGGGGTCAAAGTTCAGATTACCCTATGCAGACATTTTAACTGACTCCAATCGGGACCAAAATGTATATGTGTTGTCTTCGACTTTAGTACTATTGATTTTGGGTATTAAATGAAAAAAAATTTTAATTTTTTGAGTCCATAGAGGCATCTGGCCTTTGACCCATTTGCGACACGGCTTAATCGACTCCAATCGGGGCCAAAATTTATATGTGATATCCGCCACCATGGTATTACCGATTAAGGGGTGAGACTGAAAAAATCATTCATTTGATGCTAGAGATCACCCTCCTAGGGTTCACACTAAGCCAATGAGAAGCCTATCCATAGTCCATAACCGAAATTTAAAAAATCGGTACAGCGCTTTTCGAGAAAAAACGGGGTTAAAAATACATATATAGATATCATCATAATATTTATGATTCGCTTGGAAAATAGGAGCTTTTCTGTGGACCCAGCTTGCTGTTAATACTAAAATTACTTTACTCACATCTAAATTTAATTGTATGAGGTCGAACATTACAACCGATATTTCAGTCCAAATTGCATCTAATATCCGCTCGAAGTTTACTTCATTCAAAGTATCGTATAATGTTTCTAAGGATGTTTCCATATACATTAGGAGTTTTTCCATAGAATTAGAATCCTTATGTAAAACTTCAGCGCCTTCTGCTAAAAATCGTCTAATCGAAGGAGCCATTCGCCTGGCTACAATGTCAATAAGCTCAGAAATTTGGTTTCTTTGTGTATCTAAAGCATTGTCGATTAAACATTTTATTGTGGTAGCACAACGATCCGCGTCAAGATTCGTACGGAAATCAGATATTTTTTTAATGAGGTCCTCAGCACCCAACTCCTGTAAAAATTAATGTTACTAGTTAATATAATTTTGTAAAAATACGGAAAAATCAAACCTTAATGAACGCAGGCAAGCTTTGTCTAATATAATCGATGTTATTAATAGCAAAGCACCATTCTGTGGAAACAGTAAATAAATCGTCTTCTCTAGCTTGAGATTCAACATGCCGCGACATCCTTTTTGAATAAAATACACAGCAGCGACAAACATCCTATAAAAAATGTAAATTGAATATATGAAGTTCTAAGTGAAAAAACATATCGTCACTAGACACGAATAAAGGCGCGAGCTCAAACGTTGACCGCGAGAAAAGGCGCATAAAAAAACTTCAGCGAAGAAAGACTCTTAACAAAGTTGACGGCGAAGAAAGACGCGTTAAAATATTTTACGGCGAAGAAGGACGCGTAAACTTATTTTTGCGGTCAACTATGTTTGCGGTTGTAATAGTATGTACATTCCGTAAAGACTTTTTGGCGAATAATGCTGAAGTGACAGTCCTTGGCCGTGTATAAATCTATGGTTACGCGTCTTTCTTCGCCGTCAACTAGGTTACGCGTCTTTCTCCGCCGAAGTTTTTATTAAACGCCTTTTTTCGTACAATTTTTTTTATGCGTCTTTTTTCGCCGTCGAAACACTAGCGCGCCTTTACTCGTCTCTAGTGACGATATGGTAAAATCAAAATATGTATGTATATTCAACAACATAGAAGGACTTCGACTGTATTCTCCTTAGAAAGTATGGAATTCCACATCGTATTGAAAAAGTTTGTGTATTTACATTTTTTGCACGGTGGAAATGTGATAAGAAGTTAGTTCCACTTAATGACATTAATAGCCATGCTAAAAAAAATGCTTCTTGTAATAACCCGGAAACCTACTAAATTCGTATAAAATATTAGTTAAAACAATTGCCAAATTTATTGAAAATTCAATTAACAACGTAAAACATCTGTCTCCAACAGCTTCTCAATTATCTTTATATCATCGTATATACTTCCAAGTATGGAATCCTATGCCCCTTTTTGTCTATTCCCTTTCTAACAGCGGACGTGCCTGCCAAACTGAAAAGCATGATGGCGGCAGTATTTGACAGGCACGTTCGACGATGTGAACGGAAATGAAAGGTAAGAAATGGAAGATGGATGACATGAGAATGAAAGAATTATAAAATAGCAGAATGTCGAACCAAAACGAATTTCAAAAATCTGACAATGCGAATGACGTCAAAATGAAAGAAATGCAAAATAGTTAAATGTCGAAACAGAAGAAATAGATGACAGACCCGTGTTCAAGGGTTTCGTGTAACAAAGAGTTGTTGTGTTGCGCCATTCAATATTAAAAAAAATTCAATGTGGTTAAATACGCTTTTTTATTAAGTTGAAAAAACTACATACATATTTCGCCAGCCAAAAAGTGTATAAATAAATATATAGCATCTTGCTATAAGATTTATTTATAAAAACGGTATATGCTTATGGCCTTATTCATAAAAAATTAAATAGATTTAAAGAGCTCTATACAGCAACATTAAGGCTGCGTTTCTTTATACATTCCGGATAAACCCATTTCACAACCAGAATAAACAGAATGCCATTGAAATATACGTTTACATATCATCAGGAACGTTCTAAAGAATAAGTAAACAAAAAAGTTTATTCCAAACGTTCAGAATGAATAAAGAAATGCAGCCTAAAACAAATAGATTTGTTTACTTTTTAAGAATTTTCGTATAACATTTAACTTAACTTTTTGTGCACCCATCTCTTTTTCTGTATATTATTCTCAAATAATTCTTTTCCTTAATACTCATTTGACTGAGTTTCAATTACACCCAGTAAAAATCATGATAAAAACATTAGAAAGTAAAACCATTCTCTCAATTCGTCGGCCATGATTTTATTCTGACGTTTGCAAACATTTTAAAATCATATAAATTTGAAAATAAAAAAATGAAATTGTTCACAATTGTTGTTGTTTGAGATTAAAAATGAGAATGTGTGTGTGAGCTTGAATTCGAATTTTAAAATTATATTGCTGGCAAACGTCAGACTGTCTCAATGATTTTACCTTGTAATGTTCTTATCATGGTAAAAATCAAAATATTTTATAGATTTCCTCCTTCGCACACTTCTCGCAGTATTTTGTGGTTGAAATGACTTGATCGCCTGCAGAAACTAATCAATTTTTTTGCCAAAACCAAAGCAGACGGGAAGGAAAAATACGCGCTACTGCTCACTAAATTTGAAAAATCAAATTTTTGTTCAGTTAATTGTTATATTTTTCTTCGTTGTGGAAAATTTCCACATCATCACAGCAGCTGACTGTCAAACCGAAACCAGAAAAGATACCAGAACATTTAGGGCGCAATCTTCTTTTCTATGACCATTGTACTGCTTCTTTGAATTTCTCAATTTTGACAATTCTGATCTAAAAGTAGACGAAACCTCAGAAACTTTAAATGCACTGCAATTCACTAATACCTACTTCCGCAAAAATCACCTTTTTCGTATTTTCCTTGTTAAAAGTTATTTTAAATCATATATTTTTATCGCCTTATTCATAAAAAAAAAAGTTTCAAAAAGCTTTTTAAATTGCCGTTTGCGAACATTTTTCAATTTATAAACCTTTTTTAAAGCTACTTTAGTTTTTTGAATAAGGCTATTCGAATTTAGCACAATTAAAACACGTTCCCTATCGAACAATTTATTATTACAATTCGACTTTGTTTACTTTTTATTACAGATATGTGATCGATGATATACGTTATTTGATTATATCTAACTCATACTACTTTTAATGCTAACCATATTCATTAAAATCATTTCCATTCGTAATGAAAGTATTTTACATACTTCTAGTCTAAATATATTTTTTAATATAAACTAGCTTTTTTAATTCTAAGATTAATCAACAATCTCAAGATTTATAAAAAATGTTTCTTCAAAAAATACGTTCCAAAGCATCCCTGCTGATATCATAATTCAAAAGCAAATTAGAATAGAAATTTTGATGCAAAAGATTTTCCGTGGTATTCACCATACAAATTTATCACCTAACTTGTCCGTATGTCGCTCTGGAAAGAAATATATTTTAATTTACATGTTTTCTTAAAAATAAATGCAAATTTACATATATTTTCCACCGGCAGGCACGAATATGGTATTCAAAACAGAAACAATGACAACGAATTTTACACGCATTGTTGTATTTTAGCGCAAAACGATAAGTTTCACAAATATTTTAAATTATTGCCTGGAACATACACATTTATCGTTATTATTGAAAATGCAAGACTTGGCATGCATTTTTAATTTCTTATTTAATCAATTTAAATGAATAAAAACACATTTTTCTAAAATATTTCTCAATTTACATTTTAAAGTTTTTTCTGAAACTTGAATGTAACTCTGTGCGGAGAATAAGGGAACTGAAAATCAGGTGATCCCAGCTGTTTTAAAATGTAAGCAAACAAAATGGCGCTTTCCATACTCCTAGGCCTATACAATGCTTTATATTTTCTTAATGACGAAATATTCTACGATAGTAATGATCAATAAAAACTCGATTCAATTAGTAGCATCGATAGGTCTCCACATCCCTCCAATGCTTTTTAACTTCAGAGTCAACCTCGGGTTAGGGACCTCCGGCTCCACCGGTTCCACCATGGATTCAAATCCCTGAAAACCATTAAGTGGCAAATCACCCTTATGCAAAGGTGCGTATTATCGTTAGACTTTGACGTCCTGGGAAGCTTCTTTAAATGACTGATGTTACTCCTGTAGACTTTATTATCCTTACGAATTGTGACATCGTTTCCTTTCCGCTCAACCACTTCAAATTCTTCCGCCCCAAACGTCGGTGTCAATTTGATTGGAAAAAATACGTTCTGCATTAGTACTCTACCTCCAATCTTTATATCGCTCTCTTTTGCTCTGCGATCTTTGTCTGCCTTCTGCCTTCCTTTTTCTTTATTAACGGCATCCATGTCTCTAGCCTCCCCATCTAAAATCTCCTCACTGACGTCAAAAATAGATGGCATTTTGTCTCGAATTACACGATTGAATAACAGCTCCGTTGGGGCTTTCCCAGTTGTTCCATGTGGTGTAACATTGTACATCAGCAGAAATTTTTGAATCTTGTTCTTGTTCCATTGCTATGTGCTATTCGCAGGCGCTTAACGATCGATCGATTCATATTTTCTACCTCACCATTTGCCTGTGGCCAGTATGGTGGAGACATTGGGCTTGTTCGAGTTGCAATCACAACAGCTATGTTGCACGATTTCTTAAAGTATCACGTTCGATGTGAAATTGTGGCAACATTGGCAAAAGCATCGCGTTCAAACTGTAAAAAATTCGGAAATTGTTGCGCCCGAAGTCAAGTAAATCGGCATCACAAATTTTTTGTTTGCATGATTGCTATAGAAGACGAAAGGTGAGCAAAATAGTTTATATTAAAATGTATTATTTTTAATTTATCAGAAACATATGCATTATTAACAATATTTGAGTTTATTGTATATTTCAGTGAAAACCTGAGCAGCACTTTAAATAAATTGCTAATACGGTGTCGGCTAGATATAGAGCCGGAATTCGTTGCAGGAAAAAAGAAAAAATCGGTCCTCTGGGGAAAAGTCCTGGGGAAAATGAAAGAGGTGAACCCTGAAATCACGCAGTCGAAAGAATAAGAAAGTTCCTGAACTTGCTGGCGTCATATAAAAGGATCAAAAAGCGGAACAACTCAACTGGGAGGGATGCCACAACATGGGATTTTTATGATGACTTCGATAATGTGTATGGCAGGCGACACTCCATTTAACCTCCAGAGCAAAATCTGCAGTCCTCTCTTCCAGGATTGAGTTAAATAAATGTTAATGAGAATGAGAGTGGTTCGGATGGAAGAGACTTTGAAACGAGTATTGCAAGCACACCAAGAAAACGCAGTAAGCCTTCAGCAAATGAAACACTTGTATTCTTCAAGGAAGAAGCTGCCAAAGAACAAAGGCGCCATGAGGAAGTATTGAAGTTGGGAAAAGAAAAATTGGAAATTGAAAAGGAGAAAATTAAAGCCATAGAGGAGTTGAGAAAAGTGTTACGAGATGAGGAAGCGGAACTGAGTGTCATATAACAAATATTTATTTGTTTTAAAATGTATCTGAATTGAATGTGACTTTATTTAATAACATAAACAGAGAATTTTTTTTTTGTTTAAAAAAAGTTTATCTGAAATGAATATGATCTCATTTAATATAGATTATTTAATAACCAATTTATGTAGTGCAAATATGTATATGCATACAAATGTAGACATAAAAAATAAAAATGAGTTCAATGTAACAAAAGGAAATGTGTGCATGTACATATGTAAATGAAAACCATTATGAAACAAATAACATCTTTAAATTATTTCTTTTTTCAACGCCTTCATTAGTGTGATTGATGTTTTCCGGTAATTCGATTTCTGGATTATTTCCATCCTCTAAATTTATAAACGTATTATCAACTTCGAAATTTGTTGTACTATTTCGTATTATAAAATTATGTAAAATTGAACAAGCTAACACGACTTTTGAAATATCTTTTTGAGATTTCACACCTATGTGATTTAAAATCTTAAACTTCTGCCTTAAAATTCCAAAGGCTTGCTCAATAAAAACGCGAGCAGAACTTAAATGGTAATTAAACTGCTTCTCTTCTCTTCACAAATGTCCAATATCTCTGTATGGAACCATTGTGTATTTGGAAAGATATGCTGAGTCTGCTAAAATTACAGCTTCTTTAGCTAGATGAATCTGTCCAGAAGCTATTCCTTTGTAAAGTGGGCTATTTTCCCACACGTTAGCAACGTGGCAGCAGCCCGGAAAGCCGATAAAAACATCCAAAAAACGAAAGGCGCTGTCATATATGGCCTAAAAATATGATACCAACTTATATGTGTGTGTTTATGTGGAAATGGGTTCCATCCAGGCACCCTACTACAAATGGAAAGGAGTTCATCCGGCTTTCTTGGAAATCTTCGATGATCTTGGTCTCCTGAGAAGCAGATGGCCAAGAAATCTCGTTTTTAAGCTTACATTTAGCTTCAACGGTTTTAAAAAAGAGTTTGTGGGCTGTTCATTTTCCAATACCAAATCTGTCAGAAAGTTCACGATAGGTGACCCTACTATTGCCCAGTTTCCGTAATATTATGTGCAAGCTTTGCTCCAATGAGTACTTACCGGAAACATTTGAAAAAAATGGTTCGAGTTCAGTCTTCAATTTCTATAAATATACCTATTACAATTTTTTATTTCAAAATCAAAGTCACACAACTTACACTAAATGTTTCACGGGACATCAGAAAATGTGTAAAATTAATGTCATTTGGATACAATTTAATCGTTTTAAAAAAGTGAACCGTGTTCGTCATATTTCTCCTCCCACACAATTCCTGTCTCATCCAATTACTTTTCTTTATGCGCTTCATTCTTCTTTTGCCATTATCATAAGAAAATTTCCGTCCGCTTCGAAATTATCCAGCAAAATATTTATAGAAAGCTCCATTGCAGTTGCACCAGGGTTGCAAACGACAATCAGAGCAGCAGTATTGCCGCTTTTATTACGTGCCTCGAACTGGCCTGTTATAATTTCAATGTTCTTGTCTGAACAGTAACTTTTGAATTCATCACTGACAAACTGACGACCGTTGTCAGTAGTTATGAATGTGGGTAGCCCAGTCTCGGGAAAACTTCATTTAGAAAATCAATTAAAGCGCTGGACGTAATTTTTTTCAAAAATTTTACCTCCTGATATCTGGAATAATAGTCAATGACCACAAATATAAAATCATGATTAGGCAATGGTACCAAAAGGTCCATTGCCAGGCATAACCATGGCCACTCCGGCAAAACACGACGGCTCATTGGCGCCGGGTGTGACGGACTTGACACCAGTAAACAGTCGCGGCAATTCTTAACATATTTCTCTACATCTCGATCAATTAAAGGCCACCATACCTTTGAACGTACGCGCCGCTTCATTACTATCTCTCCCAGATGGCCTTCATGTGCAATCGCTAAGACCCGTGTTCTTAATGGAAAAGGTATAACTATTTTGGTTCCTCTTAGTAGGATATTTCCCAAAGTACATAACTCAAGTCGAAATGCAAAAAACTTATTCGAAGTATTCAAATTCCATGAATTATCTTTCACATTTCCCACCGCTTCGATCAATTCCGGATCGCATTGATTCTGCTCTACGATTTCAAGAATCGAAAGAGCCCGCGGAATGGTTTCTCCAATTATCGAACAAATGCTGCTTTCAGATTGTTGATCGAATTATACAGAATTTTCAATTTTACACAACCTAGACAACGAGTCAGCAATATTATATTTTCCCGCCTGATAGATGATCTTAAATTTGAACGATCGAAAAAAATGAAATGAAAATCGTTTCTAAAGGCTTATGGTCTGTCACCAGTTCGAACTCAACGCCGGCTAAGTAATACACTGAACCAAAAATCCATCTCTGTATCTAAGAAAAACTTTCCTTACTTTAAGGACAAAAATTCTTCCGAATGAGTAAAAAATTCTCCCGAATGCGTAATTTTTCTTTGGAATGTGTAAGAACGTACACGAAAATATGGAACCGTGGATGTAATCTATCATTTTGAAGAAATGTAGGGCATGAAAAGAGGATAAAACTTCTTTAGTGCTGTTTCGTTCTCATTTTTCTTCATTTTGATTGCTGTTTTTCTTCAATTAAGAGAAGTTTTTTTTTTGAGTGTAGTAAAACCGTTCTACACCCCAAACTAATGCGAGAATTTCCTTCTCCGTTTGTGAATACCAGCGTTCGGTCTCCGATAAACTTTTGCTTGCAAAAGATATCACTTGCGGAACATCATTGTCAAATTGTAGTAAAACAGCGCTATTAAACGGGTGCGTCTCTTCGGATTAAAATACTATAAAGTGGGCATTTTAGTTAGCTGTTTCTTGAGCTTCTCAAAAGCATCGTTTTGACGTGGACCCCAGATGAACTTTGCGTCCTTTTTAGTCAAACCCCTGAGGGGTTCTGTTACGTCAGATAAATCTGGTATGAATTTCTTCCAAATACATTTTTCTTCGTTCATTAACACATTTGCTTCTTTAAAAACCTACAGCACATCCTTCAAGTTTTTGTCATGTTCGCTCTCCGTGCTCCCAAACACAATAACGTCATCCAAATAGTTAAAAACACACTTAATCCCTTTGACGTAATGAAAGTAGTTATTTCCCGACTCCCTTCGTCCAGTTCTAGCTGGTGATATGCATTCTTGAGATCCAGCTTTGAAAAATATCTAGCACCTTGAAGTTTAGTCATAAACAAGTCAAACGAAGGAAGCGGATAGTTTTCTCTTAAAATCGCCATATTGGCACACCGCATATCAATGCATAAACATATATCCCCATTTCCTTTGAATACGACTACCACCGGAGATAACCAAGGACTAGGGCCTACAACCGGCTCTATGATATCTTGACTTACTGCTTCATTTAACTTTCTTTGAATCTTTTCCTCTAAAGCAGATGGTACCCTCACAGGGGTTGTTGGACCGGCTTCACGGATTTATCAATTGACAATGAAATTTTAATGCCCTTAATTTTAGGAAATGTTTGGTGATCTTCAATGTGATTGACTCCACGGCCTAATTTCAGAACATAGCATATAGATAGATAGATAGATTCAGAAGATAGCAGTAACTTGACCTAGAAGTGATTGACCCCCATTCTCAATAACATAGAAGGTAGATATTAGATTCGAAACTAAATTCACTCCTATTACAGCCTCGAAAACAGCACTAATTTTGAGCGGTGCATACCCAGCATACGCTCGAAACTAATTTTCAGACTCATAACGAATGTTCCAAATGGTGACATGTTCCTTGCAGAGATACACCCAATCTTCCTCACTCAACAGATTATATTGTGAACCAGAATCAATCAACATCGAAATTTTCCGGCCTCCTATGTAGCACTCTATCATTTCATTCATATGCCCGCTAAAATTGCTTACTACTCGGAAAAAATTGTGTTCATTCCACTTGCTCTGCATGGATCCAACTTCTGGCTTACCCCCTCTTGGCATCTTTATTTTCAAACCCAATCTGCTTGCGTTTGATACTCTTTGTTTTGCACTTGCGCGCAAAATTACCAACAAATCCACATTTATTGCACTTGGCACTTTTAGCGGAACAACTTAACTGGTACTAGTATGCCCTCGTTGACCACATCTGCCACACTCAATGTCTTGATTTCTGCTCTCAACTCTATTGATAATTAGAGATACACTCTGCAGTTTCATTGTCCTATCTGTTCATAAACATGACACATTCCAATGGCTTCCGTTAGCGTATACTCTTTTTCTAAAAGTCGTTTCCTTAGATCATTTGGAGCCCATGCATCAATAAGTTTATCCTTCAAATTAACCCCCAATACTTCTTCTTTTGTTTCTCCGAATTGGCATTTGGCAGCTTGGTTCCGCAACCTCATAAAAAATTTGTTTAAGCACTCACCTTCCTCAGGTTTCAATGAACGAAAAAGATGCCTCTCGAACGTAGAGTTCCTTTCCGGTGAGAAATACTTGTTGAGCTTCTCCACAAGAATGTATACTCGTCCTTTCTCTCAGCTGCATTTCCCTGATCCACAAGCGTTCCGGGAACACTATAAACCACTTCTTGAAGTTGCGTGCCACCTAAATACAACAACTTATTTTTCTTCGTCTTTGTGTCCTTTATCTCTTCCGCCTCAACATATATAGAAAATGACCGAAGCCATTTCTCCCATTCTGAACGCAGAAGCGCCTTATCTATGACATCACAAAGAAAAGGTGGTACACTTGCCACATTCATTTCAATACCTTTAGAGCCTTGATTTCGAGTTTGCAATTAAATGCCCGTCAATCAAAAGTACTATCTATTAAGCAATTTAATGCCGATATTAGCAAATAATTAAACATTCTGAAAATGGTCATCTCCTTACCAGTTTACAATTTAATGTAACTCAAATTATTGCCAATTTGTAATTTCAAATGCAAAACAATTTAATGTTTTTACAACCGTTACAATCAAATGTAACACAAACTCACATATTTTATTTTATTTTTCAACCATAGCAATCGATACCAGTATCAGTTAACGACTTGTGATTGACATAAAATAAAACGTTACAAACTACACACACACACACACACACACACACATATATATATATATATATATATATATATATATATATATATATATATA